ATCATGAAGGGAAGGACTTACACGTGTAAAGATACGGTTCGTTTGTTCCTTTGTTTCGTGAATTAAGATTTTGGGGTGGTTGGAATTGGACTAGTGCCGGCCGAAGTCGGACAGTTTAATGAAGCCAATGGGTACGTGACACGTACATACATTCTGGAACGGGGCGGACCTCATGTGGGACAACATGGTCCGGTTCGGTGCGGCCCACTCAGCTCGGCTCGCCGCGTGCAACTTCCCGATCGACTCTCGCTTCGCGTTACCGCTAAATACACGACCGGATCGCGTGGCGCACATCCGCTAGGGAGGTCCACTTGTCGTTACTTATGTCGCGTCTAAGCTGAACGAAATGCTCGTGGACAATAGTCTAGAAACTAAAAAAAAGCAATTAAAAGAACAAATATGATGTCATAAATTAGCCACCATCAGTCCAACCAGCCGCTCTCGTTAATCACATCTGTCTTCAAAAGACCACAGTTCATCTCTGTGACTGCTCGGCCAAAACTTCACGGCAAACATGGCGTCCACCGATGACCTTCCTGCAACAACTGCTCTACTCTTAACGGGGGAAAACCATGGAGAATGCGCGGATGTCTTGCTTCACATCAAGTTGAAATGACAGCCATCGTAGCCTGCAACGCAATGGACACACGATTAGCTCTGACTTGACATCTTCATCGACACGAGATTTAAAGAGGATCGGTTCAGTCATGGACTCACTTGGGTCGACGGTGATCAGCATGGCGGTGCCGCCGAAGTCGCACGTGCCGCCGGCGACCTTGGTCCTCTGCCAGTAGCTGTTAAAGGCATAGGATGCGTGAGCCAGCAGCGTGTCGGGCTGGAAGCACAACCCGTCGGGCTGGATGGAGTCGCAGTCCGCGCCGGAGTTGCAAGCGTAGTCCATGGCCTCCTGGATGATCGGGTCCGGCACCGTCGGCTTCGCGACGCACCACAGCCCCGGCAGCGTTCCCCCTGCACCCGGAGGCGGCGGCGCTCGTGGCGGCGGGTAGACTACCGGAGGCAGGAACAGTGGCGGGCCTGGCACGTAGAATGGCGGGCTTGGCACGTAGAATGGCGGGCCGGGCACGACCACCGGTGGAGGATTGTAGATCGATGACGGTGGTGGTGCTGGCGGTGATCGGATTGGTGTTGTAGAAGGTGGCGACGGAGTGAATGGAGGATAGACACAGTATGAGGGGAGTGAAGAGGGATCGGAATGTGAAGAAGCCATGTCCAACTGCTCTGATCCTCTTGCCTCTGCAGTGAAAGGAAGAAGAGAGGGAGAAGCTGTGAGGAGTTGCAGCTGCATGCAACACAAGGAAATGGAGGGGAAGTCTACAGCACATCAATCTTACCACATCGATCGCAGAAGCAGCAGGTCACGTAGAGCAGAAGGGAGAGCAGTCCCAGGTTGAGCCTTCTTAGCTCCATCAGTGCAGGCTTTGATCCTCAACATCCTGCTTCCGTTGCTTGTTTATAAAGAGAGATGGAACAGCTCCAGATGCCAGCCATGCAAAGATGGATGATGAAGGTTCAGGAGATTTGACCTAAAGTGAGACAAATACCTTTATTTCTTTCATTTTTGGGGGGCTTCTGATTTCTCTTTAATCATTAATTGCCACAAACATTATGATGAGAAAGAAGATGGACACTGGTAATGCTCATGGTTTTGCCTTTGGTATCCCTTTCTTCTCATTTAGTTTTGGCATATGTTCTTTCTTCGTGTGAGAGAAACTGAAAAGCTCAGCGTTTCTTTTCTTTTGCTTGTGTCTCAATCTAAGTTGTAGCATTTCGGATGACACTTAATTCTCTTTATACCAGCCAGGTTAAGGTTAAGCTCTTCAAACCCATCTTCCTCATGCAGATAGATGGCAATTGCTGATCCAAAGTTTGTTGTCAATGAACTCTGTTTCTAGCTCATGCAGAACAACATATAATCACTAAATGTTTGGCAAGTGGATGTGCCATGATGGCCTGATCATTTATAATGCAACTTGTGAATCTTTTCTTTGATAGTAGGATCAGCTTGTGGATCTTTGAAGACACAGATAAGCAAGCTGGCGAGTCAGGAAGAACATGGATCATATGAACTGAAGAACTTCCTCAGAGTCAGCTATTCCTGCGTAAAATATCTGAAACTATTAATAGGCCAGCTATGATTTGGCTTCATATCTTCTTAGTTCTGTGCCACCAGGAACATCATTCAGAAGTGGCATGATTTACTCCCTGAATCATGCTTACCGTGTTGTTGAAGTCAACATCAATTGCAGGATTTCCTTCTTGTAGCAGAATACAGATCAAAGTACATGAATTGAGCTAATGGAGTCCAGCTAAAGATTGAATACTGGGCACAGATCCCCTCACTACATTCCAAAGCCTGAAGTGACAGAAATCAATGCGAGTTAGCATAAGTCCAGAGAACCTATTGCACCTCCGAGAAAAAAAGATCTCGAGATTCTTTCAACCATTATCACTCGAAATCATTTTCAGCTTCAAACTCCGCTATATCCTCAATCTTCATTTCAGAGCGTTTTGTGTGATCTCAGAAAAGCTGTGCCTGTTGAGGCTGCTGAGGAGGAGCTTTGCTTGAGGGAAGAGCCAAAAGAAGAAGAAAACGGATAGCGATGAGGCTGCAGAAAGATCGGTGTCGGCACAAACGACGATCGATCGACCTGCACCACTGAAGTCAGCATGAGCTAGTAAATCGAGTAGCATGTGGATGATGACCTTCCATGTGATTTGTTGAAGTGAGGACAAGAATCCATGACTCGGAAGCTCGAGTCAAGGGAAGATGGAGAAGAAGAAGCCGAGATGACATTGACTTGTACCTCCCTATATAAACCCACCTTAACACACACCTCCTCGGAGCGGTACTAGACAGACTCTCGGCTTCCTCCGAACCATGGCGAAGGAGACGGTGGCTGTCTTCGTGCTGTGTGTTTACTTGGCTTCGTCGATCCTTCCATCTCTTGCCTGTCCCTACTGTCCAACTCCAACCCCTCCTCCTCCTCCTCCCCCTAAGAAAACCCCACCACCACCTCCACCAGCCACAACACCATGCCCGCCGCCGCCTCCAAAGAAAACCCCGACCCCGCCACCGCCACCTAAGAAATCACCGAGCCCTCCGCCACCACCGCCAACGTACCCGACTCCAAGCTCTCCGCCGCCGCCAACGTACCCGACTCCGAGCTCTCCGCCGCCGCCGCCAACGTACCCGACTCCGAGCATTCCGCCGCCGACCTCGGTGCCATGCCCCCCTCCGCCCAAGGCGCCGACGTGCCCCATCGACACCCTGAAGCTCGACGCGTGCGTGGACCTGCTCGGCGGGCTCGTGCACGTCATCATCGGCGGGGACGTGACGTACCAGTGCTGCCCGGTGCTCGAAGGCCTCGCCGACCTCGACGCCGCGCTGTGTCTCTGCACCACCATCAAGGCCAAGGCCTTGGGCATAAGCATCCTTCTTCCCATCGCGCTTGAGGTGCTGGTGGACTGCGGCAAGCACGTGCCGTCGGACTACCAATGCCCTGATCCTTGATCAAAGCTTTTCATCGTCGTGTCCTGTGATGATGCTTTCTGCATCAAAACCAGTCTTCGCCATGTTGTATTCGTTGCCTTTCTTTGGTGAGCATAACGTAGTCGACATATCTGTCAGACTCTCTACCGCACTCTCAAGTGATTCTCCTACGCAGGACTTGAATAAAATATCTATGAAATCAGTGAAAGAACAGAATCAAAGTTTCGAATCTTGTAATCGTATCATAAGATACCAATCAAGAAGTTAATGGTGAGGGATCTTTGAGCTAACCACAGAGAGAATTCTGTGTCGCCAGAGGAGTTGAGTTTGTGGTGGCATATGAGATGAAGCTTAAACGAGGCTCTGAAGCAGATTAGAGTACGAAGTGGGAAGGAGAAACGAAAGTAGAAAGCCTGCACAAAATTGTTGCAGAGTTCTGACAGTTCTGAATGGAGCAGAATCTGGATTCCTTGGGATGTGTTGGTGTAACCAATTTCAAGCCGTGGTCTCGGGACCGTCGCGGCTTGGTTCGGATCCAGATGATAGGGGATCTTCCTGGGACGTTTCCTGAGACTATTGAAGCGGTCGATTGCGTTGGTCCGATCGGGACGGGATTGTCATTTCCATTGGGGGAGAACTCCTCGCCTGCGCATTTAGTGGACAACCTCCGACTTCGCACTTGCACAAAGGTCGGGTCGGGGAGCTCGACCCAACCCCTCCGACGATCAAGTTAGTGGGTAGTCGCGGAGGGTTTATTTAGCTAAGTTGTGTCTTCTTCTCCGTCTCCTCCTCCTCCTCCTCTGAGCGCGAGGGTTTTGTTAGTGAGAATGACCGTTGCCTGATGTGCTGGCCCGTAGGGAGCAGGACCGTACTTCTGGTAGCGTCTGACGTTGGCGTGGTATGAGGGATCGAACCTGAACATGACGTTAATGCGTCTTGGTAGGCGTTCCGGTCCACGTTGATCAGGTGCCTCATCAGGTCAATAGAGGCGTGATGCGTCATCCGGGGCAACTGATGTCACGCGAGTTTTATCACAATTATTACCCTCGTCAGGATGATAACTCCTCTAATTCTCAAACAAAGTATTCATTGCAGAATCTATTTTTATTGGATCAGATCACTACATTATATGGTGCCCACACTAGAATTCAAGTCTTTGTAGGCAAAGTTCTGAGGGTTATGCTTTTATGTTCATATTACTTGCACTAGAGATAGAGATGCAGTGAGATTATGTGGCTCAATTAATTTATATTTTACTTCGGACGTTCGTTCGTTCGTTCGAGATATTCTATTATACCATCAAAAACATATAATTTATATTTGATCAGTGATATTTTGATTTCAGTTCTGATGGTGAAGTTTTCTCAGTTTTAATTTTACTTATAGAAGGTTAAAGGAGCATTGATTACTGCTCCAAATATCAAAACTGTAAAGACTCTCGAGGCTTTGGTGTTTCATGAGACTTGCAAAGACTGGATATCATGCAACCAAAATTCTGCAGATGATCTACTCATTTTCTGCAATGGAATGGATGGATTTGGCTCTCTGCTACAGTCGGCCGACTCCATAGTCAACAAGGAGATGCAGATGAGCTTTGACGGAGCTTCTGTTGATGTTCATTATTGTTCTACGATGGCTCCGTTGCAGATTTCTTTTTCTTTGATTACAGCTTGCAATCGAGTCATGAATCACATTGATTTCTCTTCTTCTTGTTGGTTTCCTTGAGGACAGACTCCATGTCTCACGATGAGAACCAATCTTTTCGAAGTATCTGAGGAACTTGGTACCAATTAATGGCCTACCACCCTTGAATTCCTTTCGGATCAGCTGCCAGTAAACCTACAGACTTGTTAGGTGAAAGCCCTCTCACTCACTACATTCCAATGGCTGAAATGATGTGAACCTTTCATCACTCTTTAACTCCTTGTGATCCTTCATTCAACTTGAACTAAAAGAACAACAAACATGTAGGTCTATCATTGCATGGCTTTAGCCTAGAGATTATGCACCGAAGTTTCCATGAAAGAGACACCTCGAATGGCCAATTTTGACTCTCTCTCTTTCTCTCTCTTTGACCCATGTCAATGGAAGATTATGACAAGATTTAATGAACTAAGCTTCATGTATGTCCTATCTTTTAGGTCTAATACTTCCAACATTTGAGACTGCTGAACTATTGCACTGATGAGGATAAGCTCAGAGAGAGAGAGAGACAGAGAGAGGAAAGTATCAATTACTGAAGGTTTGGTGTCATTGAGATTTACTTTCTCTACTACTCAAGGACGGAGTGAGCTCCCACCGGCCTCAGTTTCTGTATAAGCCAAATGAGGCACTGCAAAAGACTGGCCCTCCATGGCAAGCTGAGCTCCAAGCTCTGCCAGGCAGCAGTAGGTGTCATATCTATTCCATGAAACCGTCAAACATTCCACCAAAAACGATGATATAGACATAATCTAGCAAGGAGGCAAGGTTAATTCCTGAAGAGGTCAATGAATGCAACCTGTTGCAGTTAATTTGCCTAGAAAGATGATGAAAACTGGAGTTGGATGACTAAGATTATGTGCTTAATCAGTTTGTGAATTGGAAACAGTGAAGATTGATCGATCAAAGTGGGGCATTTGCCAACTCATCGATAAGCTACGGAAATCCATGAGCAAGTCGCATGCTTCTTTCAATATATATTACCCTGCAGAATGCAATGCTCCTCAACTCACTGCATCACAGGCCTCTCATCTTCTTCTTCTTCTTCTTCCCTGAGACCATGGGGAAGTGTGCTGTGGCTACCTTGCTACTGTTCGTAGACCTCGCCACACTGGTCCTTCCTTCACTTGCCGCTGGCTGCTCCTACTGCACATCCCCACCACCACCGCCACCGGCTTACACTCCAACCCCGTCACCACCACCTCCAAGCCGGTTGAAGCCTAGCCCTCCGCCGCCTACGTACACCACCCCGAGCCCCCCTCCTCCAACACCGGCACCACCACCACCAACGTACACCACTCCTAGCCCTCCACCACCTATCCTGCCACCGCTACCAAAGCCTTCCCCTCCACCACCACCAACGTACACCACTCCTAGCCCTCCGCCACCAATCCTGCCACCGCTACCAAAGCCTTCCCCTCCGCCACCGCCAACGTAC